CGTGATTCCGGGAGTTTTCTTTAGTTTGAAGAGCTGTTCAGGCGCTTCAAAGACGCAATATTCTGCCCTCCGGTTCACCTCCCTCAATATTCTGCCCTACGATGCATCTCCCTCTCCCCTTCCCTTCGGAAACAGGCAAAGGTATGCATTGCTTGAATGGCTATCTCAAAGGCACTCTCGGTTGTAGCATGACAGCCTGACCCTAATACTATAAGGGTACAGGGGTTTCTATTGCAAAAAAAAACATCAGAAACTGCGCTACAGCAAAAAAAACGAGGCTGCGTGTCTCTAGTTCTCCAACGATAAAGGCGGATGAATATATCACTCTTTAGATTCACTCAAGATGGCTTAAGTGTTGACGAGCTTCGGAAGAAACTGGAACCCGAAGATGCTCGGACGCTTTGTCATAAAGAAGTCGAGGTGAGACTCTTTCTACAAGCATTACAAAGGGGTTCGAGCTGACTAGATAGGGGGGTTAGGTAATGATTTGACTGAACTGTCCGCACCAGAACGTTCAGGTGTGTGTAGATAACCCGTCGGCGCGTATCCTTTTGCTGGAGAGAAAGTGAAAAAGTATTTCGCTGATATCACGTCGCTATCATTATCGCAAGAGAAATCACCGTATCCCTTAAGAACTGGTTCGTATTACCGTCACCCACCTAGCCAATGACGATCTATTTATGAAACCTCTTGTATGTTCGAAAAACGTATGAAAGTAAAGATTACGGTACTGGTGGCGTGCTCATTCCTTGCGTTGTTTCCCTAGTTTTCTTCTAATTCCATACCGGCAGCCAGTGACGTTAGTTATCAATTGCTAGGCAGGGGTCGCAGGGCGAGACAGGGCACTTCCCACGCTGGAGAATCTCCAGCACGGAGGGCGGCGGGGGTCGTATTTGATCGCTGGAGGGAGGGGGAAGTATGTGGATTGAGATTCGCAGGCGCTATTCACATCGTTGGGAGATTTCTTTTGCGGGGGGGAGGGGTCAAATTTTGCCCTTGTCGTTGAGGGAAGGAAGTCTTAGCCTTTTGCCTTCGGCCTTTGAGAGGAGTTTGGGCTTTTTCGTGGTTCTTCCCGTTTTCCCATGGAACGGAGAAATGTTGAAACATTTCTAAATGAATTCCCGGTGGGAAGGTGAAAGAGTTGGGGAACTTTGGGAGGCAGTATAGTGGGTAGGAGGGGGGAGTCTTTTTCCTAGAATTTTCTACTATTTTCCTAGAATTTTCCCTGCGGCAGGACGTGCTCTGGAGCGAGTGTTCCATCTGCCCTATCATCCATACGGAAAACGGTCTCCTGAGTGTCCCTTGAGTAGCAGAAAGTCGCTCAACAATGTGGTGCCATGATGGCATCACTTTGTGGTATGCCCAACGAATTTTCGGTCCTATCCCCGCTACTGAAGGCTTGGTAGGCAAATGGCGTAGCAGTGAATTGAGCTCAAGCAACTGTATTGAGGGTATGAATATGACTTTAATGAAGATGAATCATGAGCTTGTTTCAGGTCGGTTGGGCATGTCCTTCTTGCACGAATGTCTTCCAACAAGAGGCTCTCCTAAAAAATCATCAACGGACTATGTGCCAAGGAACGGATGCGGTAAGTGCTGCGAATGCTATGATTCTAGAAGTATCGCGCATTCTGGTTTGTGGAAGGCGAATTGTTGCAACTTTCAAATTTTGGTCTTTCGCTTTTCACCCAACCTAATGAAATAATAAGGGTTCGTTTCTGGTTGCGTGAAAATTAGTTGTTGCTGGTGAATCTGGAGCCTTATCCACGCAAGCAGAATGCCCCTTCCCCCATGATAAGGATAAGTAGGAACACTTTGTTTGATCTTTATCATCCGAAATTTTGACAGCAACCGTGCAAACCTGGACCTCGTGAGCACTGCATAAACTGCCCCTCGAAGCTGCGAATAACGTTTCTCTCTATAGAAAATAAAGGAGCGAGTTGCTCTATCCGTTCCATTTGTGAGACGCGCCACGCATTCTACTCCACTCGGAAATAATACTGGCATTTTAAAAGCGACTTGGCACGAGCATAAACTTGCCAGCTCGTCCGCTCCATCATACACTTCACTGTTTTTTCCCTACCGCGTGGTATCACAGCCAACGCCCCAGCGAGTGATCTTTGTTAGTTTCGGTTGAAGTAATTCGAGTTCGGACTCCTATTGATCGTTGCTTAGCTGCCCATCTTGCATCTCATCCCTCTGACTTGGCCACTTCTTATGGAGGGGGGGGGGGGGGCCGGGGGTCCCCAAAAATAGTTGAGATACGTCGGGCAGAATTATTTGAATAATCTTAGTGTGCCCTCCCCCATAACAGTCCATCACTTGAGCCCCATACTGGCGCAGATCTGCCGAAAGGACATTTAAAGTGAGTGGGCATGATGCGCTATCGGCGCGGCGCGGTTGCTGCGACGTCATTGGTGGATGGGGGAAGTGCGGTGTAGCCGAACATTTTCTCGCAGCCTTCCACCGATGGGATTGGCAGCAACCACCCGCCCTTGGCCAACTGCCCACTGTCTTTCAAGGTTTCGAGTGGCTTGAGGAGAGTGAGTGTATCAGTTTAAGATACAGTAATACTGTTGCATTACGGTGATTCTATTTCTGCACAAAGAGTCCTTTGTGCGGCACCCTAGCGTGCTTGCCAATTTTTCATTTTGACCAGCCTTAGAAGTAATGTCCCTTGTTTTTTTTTGTGTTCTTTACTTACCATTTCCATTTCCAGGTTTTCACACTGGTTCAAATTCACTACGAATGTACAACATGCTTGACTAAACTGGGTACGCAGGCCGATTATCGAGCGCATTGCGAGAGCGCTGAGCATCGTGCAAACGTACAAGGCACCTCCACCACCACAACCACCACCAGCAGTACGTCTGCTCAATGAGATGGCATTCCCGTCTGGTCTTTGGAATCGTCCCTTCACTAATATTTCTACTTATTTCCGTGTTTTACTACTTACTTGCGGCTTTTTCCTAGAGCGATTACCGTACTGTATACGGTATAGTTGTTGCTGTTATTGATTGCCTATTGAATATTTTTCGGTTAAAATCTACACCGTCTGACTATTTTCATAGTATACACTTGTCTCGATTGTTGCCAGATCGATACCCTTTGCCACCATTACGTTGTTCATTTTTATGCAATTCTATTTTCTACATACTACTGTACTCCGTCAAGTCCGTAAAAATCTGTGATCAGATCTCTTAAATCGCGCGTAGAGTTCACACGCACACATTTCATCCCTGAAAAGATCCCGGTTATCGCGTGTTGCGTATTTCGCCACCGCAGCGCGCCTGGCGCTAGTTCACACCGAGGGATGAAGTATGTGCGCAATGTTTAAGGAGTTAGAGTACTGTAACCGTGTGAGCTTTGTGTTTTTGCGTCAGTTATTTTTCGTGCACTTTTTGACTTTCTTCCAGCTCCATTACTCAAATGTCCATTAGCAATAATAACTAGTATGCCTTGGTGAGTACGAATCACACCGTATATTATGGATGTGATTGAATACTGATAGTCGTTATGTATATGAGAATATATTTTTCATTTGCTGATAATGATAAGTGTCGTTATCGATTGATATATTTGACCTAATTTGATAGAAGATTTTATAAGGAGCCACGGTATCCGGTTCATTTGTTTGTGGTTGTGTTCGCATCCATCTGCCCAGTTTTGGCTATTTTTGACCCCGTCGTAGTCATAGGGGCCAAATCACTTCGGAGGACGTCGTTTTACTTTGAATAGGCTTTAACTCTAATTACCCTAAAGCTATTACATACCTTAGTATCTCGGATCTGTGTTGATCGTCATGTTAATATAGATGTTTTTGTTTCTACACAGTATAAAAAAAAATTTTTGCTCTGAAAACTTTGTTGTGAGTAATGAATCGAATGGAGTCTCCTTGAAAAATAAAAATTTGAAAAAAATGATTTGCTGCTTTGAAAGGGAAGATTCCAGAAAACCCATGCCTAAGGTGTTTTACATGGACAAAATCTGAGAACTCTTCCTGAAGTTGTTCAGGAAAAGGTGGTGGTTAAAAGATCCATCGGCGACTCTCCATCCTTCGAAGGTGCAGTTTTGGAAAACCGCGACGTGCAGGAACTAGTAAAGTATTTTTAAGCAAGTAGGTGTACTGCAATACTTCTACGAGGGCCGTTCAAAGTATTCTCGGTATCGGGGTGATTCAGCAGTGACGAAGGAATTGAAATCATTTCAATAGGTAACGACACTCCCTGAGGGTGTAAATGCAAAACTTCATTTAGTTATCATCATCAATGGTATTCTAGCTACCCTTGCTGGAAGGAGACCAGAAAGAGTGATGCGACAATGTTGGGAAAATGATTACTGGCTAAAAAATCCAAGAAAAATGAAAATAATATTGAGAAAATGAAAAGAAAACCAAGAAAATGATTAGTGATTACTCCTCGTTTCCCAACCTGAAAAATCTTCGTGGAAGGTGTTTTTTTTTCTGACGATGAAGGGCTGAAGGCGGTAATTAACGCACAATATTATGCACTGGAGACAGACAGGAAAATATTCTTTGAAGGGTTCGAAAAGGTAGTTTTCCCGAGCAAACAAGTGTTTTGAGATTATGGGGGGCTAGATTGAAAAACAAATTCCATTTCAGGAATTTCCTGGCCTTTTCGTCAACGCCATTAGTAGCGAATACGTTGAACACCCTAGTAAGTTGAAAAATACTCGCAACTGTATTATATATTGCGGATGTGGCGTTTACTCACAAACCGTAGTGGCTAACTGACTCTCCGGGAAAAAGCAAAAAAAAATCATGGAGAACACCCTAAGTAAGGATCTGACAGCCTCCCAGGAAGAGCTCTCCAGACCTGCTCGTTTCATGCCAGTAAAGTGACCGGCCCCTCTGGCTACTAATCGTTTCTTCCGATGCTAATAGAATTCAGCAGTGAAAAACGAAAACGGAAAACTCCGTTAAAACTGAATTTGTGGCAGGAAATAGCTTTTGAGTTCTGGTGGGCGGCAAAACCAGGGAGGCGTCAGATTTGTCACTGATGAGGATCACAACGCTTTCACTACTTACTATAAAGGCGCGAAGTCGGATATCCTTGGGAAATGAGGACCAGAGAGAAGAAAGCTCAGGAACTGCCCAGCTGTCGATGTGTCGTGGTTTCCCCGCCCGAAACTGCACGGGGTTAGAGTACAGGGCCGTGGGAAAGTCTAATTCGTCCATGCTCCGCCTACCGTTTATAAGCCAAATTTCTGCGATCCGGCGCGAATTCGGCTCTATAAGCCATAGAAATACTTTATACTAACGAGTGGTAGGCCGTTTTTATTTTCATGTTTTGTGGGAATGCGCGGCCTCCGAGGGATATTGCAGAAGCAGCACAGTTGCTCTTGAGTTCTGGCCCTCGTCATCATCTTCGGTTCTTATTTTGCAGCACCTAAAATGTTATCCGCATAAAGAAATTGCGTTTTACTTGTATTCCAAAGCGCAATTACAGGACTTGGCAAAAAGCCAAGAGAGCTGCACGCGACACGCGGACGGCTGTTAGCATAAAGGGAGTCTGCGCCACAAGTTGCTTTGGGCGGAGCATGGACGAATTAGACTTTCCCACGGCCCTGTACTCTAACCCCGTGCAGTTTCGGGCGGGGAAACCACGACACATCGACAGCTGGGGGCTGATACATACGCCCTCAATGTGTGTGAGCGTAGCATGTGTCTTTAAGTCAAGTCTTGGAGCGAATACCGCGCGTGTGTTACCATCTGTAAAGTTTGAACAGACGCAGCATCTGTAAAGCTGCGTCGGTTCAAACTCTTCAAACATTCTCTTGAGACGGTCCTGGCGTGCTTCGGTCTAATTCCATGAGAACCAGAAACAGATTAACCCGGCTCTCAGTTCGGCTTTGTGGGGGCACCAAGTGGTACTTAGTTAGCGAAGCTTGCACAGGTCATCTTACCAGAGTGAGACCTGTTAGTTTACATGAATTGCAAAAGGAACTAGAAATAAAAATGAAGGTTAGGAACTGTCAGTTTCGCCGTATGAGGTTTTGCGCTGTCGTGTCCTGTCGCAGTGACGTGGCAGTGAAACTGCATACTTGTGCATTGTTTCTTTCAGCCGGTGGCAATGCTCTTCCAGATGATGGAGGGTATTTTCCTGGAGAAGTTCGCAGTGGATGATGCTCCGCCGATCCACAAAACGAAAGCAACAGCCTGAGCTGGTGGAAATTCCACCAACTTTCTTCAGTTACATCGTGTTCCGACCGGCGTTATATCGGAGGTCACCCACTGCTTGCGGCTCAATGCCGTTGGACTTCGGCACCGAGCTCATTTTTAAATTGCCTAAGTTACCAAATCCGCTAAAAAACTTGTATGTAGGGGTAGTTTAACATCCTGATTACGAATATGGACGATGCCACTCCTTGTCGCTGGCGCCGCTGATGGATTGACACTGGCGATTACCTGCGTCCGCTAAGGCTGAGCCCAAGAGGTAATCGTAGTGTCATCCCTTGGCCGCCAGCGCCAAGAATGAGTGTCATAATTGTAATCAGGATGGTAAATAACCCTTGTGTACATATTTTCAGCGGGTTTGGCGACTTAGGTAATTTAAAAATGAGCTCTGGTGTGCGAATTTGCTGGAAGGCCCAAACGGCGAGTGGGACCCACTGTTGCTTTCCTACTGTAATTGACGTAGCTCTTCACATTTCCTTTCCCGTTTCCGTAAATCCGTTCCCAATCTGTCGTAACGGCAACTCCAAGGATGAGCGCCCAGTGCCGGCGAAAAACATTACATTTGCGCTAGCGCCGCTGCGCGCTGAGACCGTACGACAAAGTTGAGCAAGCCCTAGTATTTTTTTCCAGCTCGAAATTGTATACGTTGCTTTCAGCCATGCTTAGCTTTGCTGCTATCTCCAGCATTGCTTGACAGGGCTTCCAGCGTTGCGCGCGAGCGTGTATTGAGGTAGTATTCGCCGGAATTCGTCGATCAACTGGTACCCTCCTATCCGCCATATTCTACTCTCCCTGACGCTGGTAGACACTGGTGCACGAGGTAGACTGCTCCACGCATTACCTATACGTCCCCAGCTCTCCAGACGCTAGTGTATGCTGGCAGACGTTGAAGGACACTGCCAGACGGTAGATCGATATCTACACTTTCTCAGTCTGAACCCGGCTGCCAGGCGTACAGTAACGCTAGTCGGACGCAAAGTATAAATGCAGCCTCAGAGGATTCAGTCTTTCTGGTCGAATTGGCCCAACCACATGGAAGCCTTAGTTTGTACAACGCGATCTTGCGCTGTCACAGAATCCCACTTCCAATGAACATCACCAGCTCTTCGTCTTCGGAGTTGCTCACAAAGAACACAGGCCTGAGGTGAGTGCTGTTCATTAGGGGGGAGGGTACCTGACCGTAGTTAATGCACTAGAGAAATGACTTTCACTTTGCAGAAGCTTATAACGTCCTCTATTCATACACCTTTCACAGAACGAATAACGGCAAAACGCTAACAAATATCGTTTATTGCTTCATTGGCATTTGGAAATTAAACAACGTAAGGACACTGTAATTACGACTATAATAGCCATCGTAGAGCTGAAAGTCATTTACCCATAATTGGACCGACTACCGTATTTGCTGCACCGCAGGCATTTTGGCCACGAGCCAATTTGAAATACCCACCCTGACCCCATCGCGAACCCCACGAGTTCTTCACGAGCCAGTATGGTTGACCATTCTCTGTACCGTAGCCAACGAACGTTAGCGCATGTGAGCCCAACGAATGTTTCTGGAAAAACGAATAGTATTTTACTGTTTTGTTTTTTTCCGATTCCGTATCAGTTCGGATTAAGCTCTTATTGCAGCTGCTCACCTCGCAGTCTGTCTGCGATGGAGAAAATATGCCACTTCGGTAGCTATACATGGATTTTGTTACATTCATACCTGTAATAATGGTACATTTGATCGCATTTAAAACGTTTTCACTTTTGGTCGGACGAAATAGAGCGTTTGCTAGACCATCCCCTATGGGCGTAGTTCGGTTTGGTGGGGCAGCATATGGTACTTAGCGAGGTTTGTATAAGCCACCTTGTGAAACCTGTAATCTCCTGTCACTAAAAAGGCTCACTTAAAAGGAACTAGCGAAAGTGGAAAATGCTCTCTTTTGCGCCCCTTGGTGCTCCCAGCCCATTTGGAAACGTAAAGACGCGTTCAGGTTGTGCTCGGTATAAGTACATCATTGCTGTAGGAGCGTAAAGGAGCGTAACGTGGCGCTACCTTTACCATCACAAGCATCACAAATAGCACCGTTATTATGACCCCCATAAAAGCTCGTGGTGAACAATCCCTAGTGCGGATGCAACCATTTGCGCTCAAAGTCAATATTGAATTTGACAAGGAACAGACCGAAGGTGACGGGACCGTTGGCTGCAATCCAATCAGCAATCACTTCTTCATTGGTTGAGAGCATACGATAGCTTTGGGTGAGAGCATACGATAGCTTTGGATGAAAACTCGCTCCTGAAGTTTCCTTCTCAACATCTAAATATTAACAGCATGAACAACACGTGAAGAATCCTTGAAGACACAGTTCGCAATAAGCTAATGGGCGGAGACACACTACTCCTGTGATTTTTTTTTCAATAGTGCGCCTCTTGCTCTAG